AGCTGGAAGTGGTGCTGTGGCTCAAGTGGTAGAGTGCTAGCCTTGAGCTGAAGAGCTGAGGGACAGTGCCCAAGCCCAGAGTTCAGGCCCCACAACTGGACCACCCCCCCCCAAAAAAAAGAACCACTGGGGCCTAGCTTATTTGTATTTTATTTTTAAATATTTCTTTCTTTTTCTTTTTAATTTTATAATTATAGTTTATCAAGTCAGAAAATGAATCTAACATCTCAAATGATAACATAAAATAATTGCTTAGAATACACAGCATTTATGGGAAATTTAAAAAATTGTTTAGTATTTAAATTATGAAAATTCTACTAGGTAAGGTGGCTTACACCTGGGTAATCTCAGCCCCATGTAAAGTGTCTGAAGCCAGCCAAGGCAAAAAGTAAGTAAGCTTCCATCTCAACAAATGTTATTGGACAAACATTATGGTACACTTCTGTATTACAGCTATGGGAGGAAGACTGTTGGTTGAAGGATTATGGTCCAGACTCACTCAAACAAAAACATGTAACCTAAAATGTAATCTAAAGCAAAAAAGGTGAAAGATGAAATGTAGACCAGTGTTGGTGGCTCATGCTTATAATCCTAGCTAATCAGGAGGCTGAAATCTGAGGATCGAGGTTCAAAGCCAGTCCAGAGGAGAAACTGTGAAACTCTTATCTCCAGTAAACCACTCAAAAAAGCCAGAAGTGGAGCTATGGCTTAAATAGCAGAGCTTGCCTTGAGCAAAAGAAACTTAGGTACAGTGCCCAGACCCAGAGTTCAAGCCCCAGGACTAGCAAAATAAAAGGGGGGGGGGGAGGAATTAAAGGTGTGACTCAAATGATAGAGTGCCTGCCTAGGAAACTTAAGACATAGAATTCAAACCTCAGTATCACCACAAAACAAAACGAAGGAAAAGGGAAATAAGAAAATTATATTATTTACTCCAAAAACTCTCCAAACTACTGAGTTTGTTTGGTGATATAATTCTTGCCTATAGGAAGAAGTCAAGGTCAACTCAGAAGCTGTTCCCAAAATGCAAATGTACCTTATAAATAATTTCATTCAATCAATAGGGTCTTCGTCCTTCTGCTGAACCAAATCACAACCAGAGGCAAGAGTTAAGAGACCGTGGAGAAGAAACTGCATCCCAGGAGCTACAATTTAGGAAAAAGGACATGAAGGACCAGGTTAAAAACAGTTGAATTCTAGGGCTTACATGTTTTAGTCCCTTTTCCTCAGTATGCCTCAGTGTGCAAATACTGAGCATGTGAAGAACCAAGCTTGGTGTTTTAGGGGACACAGAGCCCAAATTTTACTTACTTGGGGTGTATACCACCAGTTAATCATAATGTGTTTACCTTGGGTCACTTATTTAACTTATTAACTTATTTAACATTAGTGTTCCCAGGGCTATGCTGTCCATGTATAGCAAGCTGGATGCTAGCTTAAAAACACAGACATGTATTTTCTCACAGTTCTGGAAGCTGCAAGTACAGAATCAAAGTAATGGCATTCTACACTCTTCACGGCCTCCATCTAACTTAGAGGGGATCTTTGTGCCTCTTCCTACCTTCTGATGCTTTCCTGGCAATATTTGGCATTCCTTGGTTTGCAGTTGCTTGCATCATTCTAACATCTGCCTTTTGAAACAGGGTGGCATCTCAGTTTTCACCTGGTCATCTTCAAAGGGAGCCACTTTGCTCCATGACTGCATGTTAACTAGTTGTCTCTGCAATGCCCCTGTTCCCAAATCAGGCCATGTTCTAAGGCGCCAGGAAACAGGACTTCAGCAGAGTTCATTTGGTTTTGTTTTTGAGATGAGGTCTCTCTAAGCTGCCCAGGTTACATCTTAAACCACAGAGCTCAAGGATCTATCTGCCTTTGCCTCCTGAATAGTTGGGAGTGCACCATCTTTTCAGCTTCCACCTATCTTTAGAGGGAATGAATTTCAACCTATAACATAATCTGAAATCAACATTGGATGCATAACTATGTCAGTGCATTTAGGGTCCTGTATGAGCATAGGATCTGTGCAAGCCCATGTATCTCTCATAGGGTGTGAAGAACCATCCATGGCCAAAACATGGCAGATTATGATGTTTGAGAATAACACATTTTGAATGCTTATGTCACTTCTTAAAAAAAGTATGGATTTTGGGGCTGGGAAGATGGCTCAGTGGTAGAGTGCTTGCCTTGCATGCCTGAGGCCCTGGGTTCGATTCCTCAGCACCACATAAGCAAAAACGAAAAAGGCCGGAGGTGGCGCTGTGGCTCAAGTGGTAGAGTGCTAGCCTTGAGCTGAAGAGCTGAGGGACAGCGCCCAGGCCCAGAGTTCAGGCCCCACTACCGGACACCCCCCTCCCAAAAAAGTATGGATTTTATAGAGACTACTTTTAAGTTGTTCACAAATGTTAGAGTATTTGGGTTGGCTTTGCTTTCCAGGAATATTGGAAGCAGCTAGAAGAAATACGTCAACAGTATCACAATGACATGAAGGAAATCAGGAAGAAGATGGGGAGAGAACTGGAGGTAAATTCACCCTTCTAGAAGGAAACATTGTTCTTCCAGTTTAGAGTTGACTAAATTAGTAGATACTGAAAATGATTAACTTAAATGTAGTGATCAGATGTGCAGGAGCTGCAGCCTGGGGAAGGTTTTCTCCAGAGCACCGTGTGGCTCATGCTCAGATCCTTATGCATTGACAGCTTTACATGTAATGGGTCTGAGATGGGAGTTCTGACACCAAAAAGATGGGTAGAAGACCGTCCTTTCCTCCATCCCTCCTTATCTTCCTCCCATCTTCTTTCCCCCTTCTTTCCTTCCATTTCTTTTTTTCCTTTCTTCCTTCCTTTCTTCCATTTCTTCCTTCCTTCCTTTTTCTCTTTCTCCTTTCCTTTCCTTCTCATTTCCTCCCTCCCTCCCATCCTTCCTTCCCTTCCTTTCCTTCTTCCTGTTAGGAGTTTAGGGGAAGGTTTGTGAAGTTGCCCTTTAGACATGAGGACTTTCCAATTTAAGTCCTATTTCTGGACAAGTCATAATGGTAAGAAAACTTACTGAGTAAGCAGGAAAACAGACAAGCAGAAAGAAAGAGGCTTACTCTGTCAGATAAAGTGTGGTTGCTAAGAGGGAGAGACACAGAGCTCTTTGACATCGGGGGTATTTATATGAAGGCAGGGTCTGACGAACAGTTATTCAGGATAACTGTGTATATTTACTCTGAATCACTCTTAGTGTTACCCTTTTATTGCTTGGGCTCTGAGTGTCTAAGTCTGACCTACTCTTTAACCCTTGATCTTTATGTTTGAACATCACCTCCAGGAAAATAATGGCATCCTGCCATGAAATCAATGTTTATCCTTGATAGTCAGAAACAGTGTATTTAGAAGCAAGAAAGATAGTGCTTCTATGTTTCTAAATGCATTGTTTCTGAACTCCTGTCTGCTGTTCACCATGCCTAATCTATCCTGCCTTGTTGCTTTTTTTTTTTTTCCCCATGCTGAGGTTCCAGCCCAGGAACTAATACATGTTAGGCCAGGACTACATAGCAGACATTTCTAGAAAAGCTATGAAAAAAAGCACCTGAAGAATAACAAGACAGTCTCAGGGAAAAAGAACCACAAAGACAACTTTTGTGGTAGGATGTGGCTCAGTGGTAGAACTGCTGCCTAGGATTATGAAGCCCCAAGTTTCACACCCAGCGCACACACACACACACACACACACACACACACACACACACACACACACACACACACTCTGGGAGTAGCTGCCTCCAATGATCTTGTCTGCAGCAGCATAATAGCATGTTCTTAATGGGCTCTGGTGAAGGGACCGAAAGTAGCTTCCAGAATTCACACAGAACCAATCTTTTTGACCATGTACCATCTGTATTAAAGGAGAACTCAAGAATCAGTCATAAAACCTATTTGGTAAAGAAGATGCACCTGAAGAAAAGGCCTGTGCAGGTAGGGATGGCTGCTGGGCCTCTGTTCTTTCCAGTGGGGTTGCTCTAGCCTAGTGCTTCTCACCTCTTCCTGTGCAACATGATAGACCCAACCGTCATGTGAGATCCTTTTATAAAGCTCAGGTCCTCTTATTCATTCCTCTTTTCTTTCTTGGTGTCTCCCCCCCCCCCCCCCCCCCCCCCCCCCCCCCCCCCCCCCCCCCCCCCCCCCCCCCCCCCCCCCCCCCTTCCCCAGGCAACCACAGAATTGCTTCCTGTCACAGCTGCTGAGTTTGCATTTTCTAGATTCATTTGCAATATGTAAATGAATCACACTGTACTCTGCTCTCTATTGTCTGGTTTCCTTCTGCATAATAATGTCACGAATTGTCCACATTGCACATATGAATAGTTTGTTACTGTGGATGGGTGTGTAAGTTGTTTCCAGCCTTTGACTATTACAAATAAAGCTGCAGTGAACATTTATGTACAAATCTTTGTGTAGACATGGTCTTCTTGTCTTTTGAATAAACCCTTTGGATTGGATTAGCTGGATCACATAGTAGGTGAATGCTTAATTTTTCTTTTTTTAATTTGTGATGTTGAAATTGAATCAAGACCTCACAAATGCTAGGCAAGTGCTCTGTCCTGAATTACAGCCTGAGCATCCTTGTTTTTCTCTTTGTTTTTCACTATATTGCCCTGGCTTGCCTTTGAACTTATGATCTTTCTGCCTCAGCCTCCTCAGTAGCTTAAGAAATTGGGATTGGAAAGTGATGAAGAGATAGGATAACTTTAGGAAAATGGGGCCTAGTGAAGGCAACTCAGAAATATGGTATTTAGAAAACATAGAAATGCCATCTTTGCTTCAGAGAGACAACAGGAGACTGAGATCTGAGGATACAGATTCAAAGCCAGCCTGGATAGAAAAGTCTGTGTGACTCTTATTTCCAATTAACTATCAAAAAGCCAGACTGGAGGTGTGGCTCAAGTGGTAGAATGCCAGCCTTGAATGAAAAAGCCAAGTGAGAATGTGAGGCCCTGAGTTCAACCCCAATATTGGCACACATACACACAAAGCAATCAACAAATTGAAGATGACGCTAACTAGGCAGGATGCTGAGTCTGAAGCTTAGAAGAGGGGAAAGGGGAAACTAGATGACACACTGCATAAGGAGTCATTGCATAAAGCTGGGACTTAATTGATAGAAATGCATGAGGCTCCCTTGTGGAAAAGAAAGGAAGAGTGGAGAGCCCAAGATAGGGCCTAAGAAACCTCAGCACACAGTTCACCTCTCAACCTTGCCTTTCAAACTCTTGTTATCCGCTGTATATAGTCTTCTTGTCTTCTTCCTTCAAATTGCCTGTCAATTTTTACAGCCCACCCTTTACATTGTCATGAGTTGGACACTTTTCTTACTTTCTTGACTCAGATCCTAAGCCTTTTAAGAGAGAGATTCTGTTGTTAAAATTATATTCTTGGGCCAAGATATGGCTCAGAGGGAGTGCTTACCTAGTATGCATGAAGTACCGAGTTCAATTCCTAGTCCTAGAAAAATATATACTTGAACTGGATTGGGTTGGATTGGACTGTACTAGAGCAATGAACACTTCATCACACTATAGAATTTTTACCCATTGCAATGCCCATGATAAATCCACAAATATCTCAATTTGTTGCATTCTATGCCTGAGTTTTTGATGAATGACTGACTTTCCTTAGTAAAGGCATGCTTTTGTTTTCAAATCAATCACCCAATTCAATCTAAAAATCAGATCATAGAAGTACCAAGTGCTGTGAATTCAGAAGTTGGAAAATAAAATTAAATGACAGTATTGTTTTTATCTTAAATTCCAGGACATTGAAAGACTTAAAAACAAAGTAGGCTTCAGAACACAAAGGAAAGTAAAATTCCTGAACAGAAATATAAAGCTAAAGTAATAAACTTTTTTTTTTCTTTTGATTTCATGTTAGAAGGCTGCCTATGGGTTTATCCCTTATAATCTGGGTTGCCTACCTAATTTCTCCTCTATTTCATAGAATAACCCTATTTAGTGATTAGATTAATGATTTGAAGTAGTTGTTATCAAAATAAATTGACCCAAGGGATTATAATTGTAAAGCTTTTATTGAACTGCTAAACAAAGACTTTTTAAATTTTGTTTTGTTGCCTTCTAGAGGGGGGTAAAGTTTGAAATTCCCTTCGACAAGTGTGTTTCTGGTGAAGACTCCTTCCAGGAGGATGAGGTAAGTCATAAAAATAGACATTTCAGCTAAGAGAAAAGTTTTATGACATTGTTCTATGGGCTCTAGGGGCAAATTCCATTAAATAGTCCTAGAAGGGGCTCGGGTATTCAAGTTTTCTAAGTGTGTGTGTGTGTGTGTGTGTGTGTGTGTGTGTGTGTGTGTGTGTGTATGTCTGTTTGTAAGCACCAGGGCTTGAACTCGGGGTTTTATGTTCTGCTTAGCTTTTTCACTTGAGGCTGGCACTCTTCTACTTGAGACACACTTCCACTTCCAGATTTTTACTGGTTAGAGATAAGAGTTTCTTGGATTTCCTTTTATTTTTTTTTGTGGGGGTGTCCGGTCGTGGGGTCTGAACTCTGGGCCTGGGCGCTGTCCCTCAGCCCTTCAGCTCAAGGCTAGCACTCTACCACTTGAGCTACAGCGCCATTTCCGGCTTTTTTCTGCTTATGTGGTGCTGAGGAATCGAACCCAGGGACTCATGCATGCGAGGCAAGCACTCTACCACTGAGCCAACTTCCCAGCCCCTTTCTTGGATTTTTTACCTGGGCTCAAAGCCAGCCCAGGCAGGAAGATCCTTGAAATTCTTAGCTCTAATTAAGCCAAAAGCTGAACTGGAGCTGTGGCTCAAAGTACAGTGCCAGCCTTGAGTAAAAAAGCAAAGTGACAGTGAGGGGCCCTGAGTTCAATAGTAGCTTACACATAAACACACACAACTATGTGCAACTCTGCTTAATAGTTACATATTGAATACTTAACATACATCTTAGTAATACTTAAAAAAAAGAATTGTAGCCTCTTCCCAAGGTTTATTTCTCATGAAACACTGTGGAACTGCTTTAGGTAATGGTTGCACTAACTGACAATTTGACCTTCGAGGATGGCATGAAGTTGAAGGAATACAGACAGATGAAGGGGCAAGAAGAGTACACAGACAAAGCCTCTGAAGAGCTTTGTGGCCCAGAAACTGGTAGGTGTTCCTTGAAAGCTGTGGATGAGCAGGAGCCATTTCATTAGCTCAAATGTTCCACTTGGCTCCTGGGTCTCTTCCTGCTTATACTTGCTGCTCCTGCACACCAGGGCAGCTCCTCCTCTGAAATGTTCTGGATTCTTCCTCCTCCTTCTGCCCAGTATGGCTCACTCATGACTTTGTCATCCTTCAGCAGCATAGTAACAGAGATGGTGGGAGCTTGAATCCCAGCTGATGCTGTACTTTCTGATCATAGAATCATCTTCTATGTTACATACTTCCTCTTAGGAGTAGTAATAGCCACACTGGGTACTGTGAGGAAAATAATCTCACCATATGACAGGGGAGATATGATATAGAGGATACCAGCCATGTGCTATGGTTTAACAAATGGTATTCCCTTCCTCTATGCTTTCCCCATTTTATTGCCCTATTTTCTAAAGGGTTCCTCTTTATTCTCTACCTGGTTGCCATACTATTACTACTACAACTACTACTACTAATAAACAACCAAACAATAATAATAGTTATAATAACTAATATTTATTATAAGCACTATATTACAACAATTTTGCAATATAATAGTTATAACATAGTTAACTATTAATAGTAGCTATTATATAATTTCTGGAGTGTAAAGTCAATTCTACATAGTTTCACACTTAATGCTGACTAGCTGATCTCCCAGTGACCCACTTTTCCCACCCTAGCTTCCTTTCTTTCCAACAACCATAATGGGGGTCATGCAGCCTGCCAGAGCACCCATCTTACCCTATACCAAATGTGAACCTGAATGGCTCAGTTTCCCTTCCTGGAGTACTTTTTGCCTCATATCTTTCTGGAGCATCATTACTCAAGTGACAAGGCATTTGACTGAGGCTCTCCCTTGAGCTGCATATTGTGAATGGTGGTTAGGGAACTCTTTTTGTAACCTAGACACTGCCCTCCTCCATACCAAAGAAGTGTCACAAGCAAAGGAAAGGAGGCATAAAATATGTCCAGAGAGCTGTGGCATGGCTCAGTGTCAGTGCAAATACCTATATTGAAAAAACAAATACAAAAAATAAATAAAAGGGGCTGGGAAGGTGGCTCAGAGGTAGAGTGTTTGCCTTGCATGCATGAGGCCCTGGGTTCAATTCCTTAGCACCACATAAGCAGAAAAAGCCAGAAGTGGTGCTGTAGCTCAAGTGGTAGAATGCTAGCCTTGAGCTGAAGAGCTGAGGGAAAGTGCCCAGGCCTAGAGTTCAGGCACATGACTGAAAAAAATAAAAATAAAAAATAAACAAAAACAAATATAAAAAACCAAAAAGCAAAAAACAGTGGGCACCAGTAAGCTGAGATCTGAGGATCATAGTTCAAAGTCAACCCAGGCAGGAAAGTCCTTGAGGTTCTTATCTTTAGTTAACCACCAGAAAGCTGGAAGCAGAGTTTTGGCTTAAGGGGTTGAGCACCAGCCTTGGGTGAAAAAGCTAAGTTACAGCACCTACACCTTAGTTCTGGGCACAAAAATGAAAACAAGGGGAGAGAGAGAGAGACAGAGAGACAGAGAGAGAATAGATTGTGTTCTGTGGAAAGTGATTGGGTTCTCCCACATGATTCAATGAATGTGTTTATTCATGTCACTAATTATCTTTCACAGTCAGTTAAATTCATCAGTTACAACTTTTACTACCGTTTGTCAGCTTCCTAAGCTCTGATCTTAGATTGCCTTGGTACCTGAGCACTTTAGTTTGATGCAGTGTAGTCACACCCTGGCTGCTTTGGAGCTAATAAGTGATTCTCTTAGACACAGAGTGCTGCCCGCAGGCTGCCACAGCTGCAACAAACAGGAGGCACTGGGATGCCAGAGCACCCACGACTCTGCTGCAAATGATGGCAGCAGCCGACGTCACCTCCGCCTGCCCCACCATGCCTGATGGTAAGTCTGCTCTGTTAATGCCAGTTGGCACTAAGGAAGACCAGGGGGCCCAAACAGTTGTGTTATCAGAACTCACTGTGTTGGAATAAATTTCCTTTTAAGTTTAGTCTCTACTGATTTTGTTCCAAACACCTTGCAAAGGCATTTGTTTTCTCCTCCACCCACTGGAGACACTTGCCTGATAATTGTCCCAAAGAACTGACCACTCTTGCCAGGCAAAAGAAAAGGAAGAAAAATCCAGGATGCAACAAGCTGTTTGTTTATTTTTGCCAGTCATGGTGCCTGAACTCTGGGCCTGGGCAGTGTCTCTCAGCTCTTCAGCTCAAGGCTAGTGCTCTATCACTTGAGCCACAGCACCACTTCCAGCTTTTTCTGCTTATGTGGTGCTGAGGAATCGAACCCAGGGCCTTATGCATGCAAGGCAAGCACTCTACCACTGAGTCACCTTCCCAGCCCCACGACTTTTTTTTTAAAGTGATGTGAAAGCTAGGCACTGGGTAGCTCACACTTGTAATCTAAACTACTCACAAGGTTGAGATCTGAAGATTGCAGTTAGAAGCCAGAGAGGAAAGTCCATTAAGACTCCTGATCTTCAGTTAACCAGCAAAAAGCTGGAACAGGATGGCAGAGCATTGAGCCAAATGAAAGAGGGAGGACCTAAATGCAAGCCCCAGCATCAACACAAAATAAAGAAAAAAATTAAAGTGAGGGTGAAGAAAGGCAATTGAATTGATACGTCCTCTAGTGTCAGCTTAATGATTTCCCAAGTCATATGTTTCACCAGTGAAGTTGGAATTGAAAGATTCATTTTCCCAAGATTTCAAGAACTGACAGTGTAAAGATACATATACTTCCTAAGCCAATGGCTATTTATCTATTTGCTTATTTATTTAGAAGAAAAAGGCAACCCTTTTAACATTAGCTCTCCATATCCTTGACTTCAACCAACCACAGATGGAAATTTTTTTTTGTTGTTTTTTTGCGCCAGTCCTGGCACTTGAACTCAGGGCCTGAGTGTTGTTCTTGAGCTTCTTTGGCTCAAGGTTAGCTATCACTTAAGCAAGAACTCTGCTTACAGCTTTTTGGGGGCAGTTTGTTGGAGATAAGAAGTCATATGGACTTTCCTGCACAGGCTGGCTTCAAACCTTGATCCTCAGGTCTCAGCCTCCTGAGTAGCTAGGATTACAGATGTGAGCTACTGATGCCCAGCAGAAAATATTTTTTAAAAAAATTAGTAAAGGCCAGGCACTGGTGGCTCGAGCCTATAATTCTAACTTTTCAGGAGGGCAGGATTTGATGATTTGAGGTTCAAAGCTAGTCTGGGCAAGAAAGTCCATGAAACTTCCATCTCCAATTAACTAGCAAACAGCCAGAAGCGGAGGTGTGACTAAAGTGGTAGAGCATCAGCCTTGAGTGGGAAAAGCTAAGAACCCAGGTGATGAGTTCAAGCCCCATTACTGGCAGGTATGTGTATGTGTATGCGCACAAACACACACACACACACACACTCACACACACACACACACACACACACACACACACACACACACACACACAAACTGAAAAACAAAAGCTTCTGTTTATTCCATAAACAATTCAGCCTACCAGCTATTTATATGGCAGTTACACTGTATTAGAGATTAAGTGGATATGCTTGGGTTATATGCAAATATTACTCTACTATATGCAAGAGACTTGAGCACCCACAGATTTTTATATTCTTGGGGGTCCTGAAATCATTCCTCCTTAGATACAAGGAATGAATGTATATAATAACTGAAGTTAATAAGTGTATGTACGTGAGTTGGCTTATAAATCAATAAGGCAATTGAGGTGGATACCTAACTTTAAAATATGTTTTATCACAACAAAAAAGGCCTTTTTTAAACACAAATCTTCTTCAGAGCTAAAGAGACCAAGAATGCTTATTTTCCCTTATATGTGGAAGCTAGAATTAGCTTATAAACCTATAAGTAAATATGTTGAGTGGTATGCAAGTGTATACACCTGTATTAACTGAAATATGGTAGTTTCAATGTAGAACTCAAATAGTGAAATTCCTTAGAAAGGCACAATAAAAATTCAACAAAATAAACAAGAAGGGGGTGGGGTCAAGGGGAGTTGGGTAGCCAGTGAAGAGAAGAGAGGGAGAATGCAATCAAGAATTCAATGTATGTACTACAAACTTAAAAGGAGTGAAGGAAAGGGTAGGTCAGGGAAGGAAAGGAAAGGTAAGAATGCCGAAAGGGGTGACACTGTTAAATGGCAACTCCTGTACAACTAAATAAAAAAAGTATTAAAAAAAAAACCCATGAATTCTTCACCAGCTATATGACAATAAGATACTCCATTTTTGAACTTCATTTGTATTTTTTAAAGCTTTCATTGCTACTAGAATTTGAACTCAGGGGCTGTACCAGGCAGGCTGTCTCCCACTTAAGCCATACTCCCAAGTGCACGCCCCCCTCCTTTTCTTGGCTTTGGTTATTTATTTTTTTGTTTTTGTTTTTGGGTCTGGTTGTGGGGCCTGAACTCTGGGCCTGGGCGCTGTCCCTCAGCTCTTCAGCTCAAGGCTAGTGCTCTACCACTTGAGCTACAGTGCCACTTCCAGCTTTTTTCTTTTTGCTTATGTGGTGCTGAGGCATCGAACCCAGGGCCTCAGGCATGCAAGGCGCTCTACCACTGAGCCACCTTCCCAGCCCTGGTTATTTATTTTTTAAATAGGTTCTTGAATTTTTGCCAGTGGTGGCCTAGACCTCAATTCTCCTATTATGTCTTTTGCATGGCTGGGATACCAGGTCCATTCCACCATGCCCAGCTTATTTGTTGGAGTCTCTCTAACTTATCTCAAATTGTGATTCTCCCAATCTCTACCTCCCAAGTAGCTGGGATTGCAGGCATCTCCCAACATACCAAGGATAATAAGTTCTCTGTTACTTCAGTCAGATGAGATGTGGGATTACCTCTAAGGTTCCGATACATTATGATTTAATGAACACTCAAATGAAGAAGCATTTTTATTTATTTATTTGCCAGTCCTAGGGCTTGAACTCAGGGTCTGGGCACGGTCTCTGAGCTTCTTTCATTCTACTACTTGAGCCACAGATCCACTTCCAGCTTTTTTAGTAATTTATTGGAGATAAGAGTCTCACAGACTTTCTTGCTTGGTCTGGCTTCGAACTGCCATCCTCAGATCTCAGCCTCTTGAGTAGTTAGGATTACAGACATGAGCCACCAGCACCCAGCCATTTTTATTTTTAATAACATAGTTTCCTCCTCAGATGGCAAAGTGATTGTGATGGAAGGTGGTCCAGAAAACAGGAAGCAGTGGCAGCGTGAAGCACCAGGGACTTTGATGGCTGTTTTGGCAGCAGCACATCTGAGTAGCTCATTTCCTGCCAGCGAAGAAGAACCTGGTATAATAGTTTATTTGTTTGCTAATTTCTAGCCCACGTTAATTACCCAGGAAAGAAATCCTGTACTCATTAGCAGTCACAATTGGCGTCTGGTGTCCAGTAGTCTGGATCTGCTTATTTTAGACAATCTGTATACATGGAACATGTGTAGTTTTATTGTCTCTGCTTCCCTCACTTTGTATAATGTTTTCAAGGTACATTCATGTTGTAACAAAAGTCAGAACTTCATTGCTCTTCTCTCTTGCTCTGAGTCAAGGCTCATTATATTGCCCAGGCTAAGCATTAAAATAACATTAAAAGTCTTCGGAGTTGCTGGGATGACAGGCACACATCACACCTAGCTTTCCTCCTTTTCCTCCTCCTCTCACTTTCCTCCCTCTTTCTCCTTTTCCCTCTCCTTCTTTCCCCTCTCCCTCAGATGGCTTTGCACATTTCACTTAGCACTTCATAAGGGGATGGGCATTTGACTTGTTCCCATCTATGGGCTGTTGGAAATAATGCTGCTATGACTTTCTTTTTGGTCAGTCCTAGGGCTTGTACTCAGGGCCTGAGCACTGACCTTGAGCTATTGTGTAACTTGAGACACAGCTCCACTTCTGGCTTTTTTTTTTTGCCAGTCCTGGGGCCTGGGCACTGTCCCTGAACTTCTTTTGCTCAAGGCTTGTGCTTTACCACTTGAGCCACAGCCCCCCTTCCGGCTTTTACTATGTATGCGGTACTGAAGAATCGAACCTAGGGCTTCATGCATGCTAGGAAAGCACTCTACCCCTAAGCTGTATTCCCAGCCCACACTTCTGGCTTTTTGTGGTTAACTGGAGATAAGAGTCTCATGGACATTTCTGGCCTGGCTGGCTTTGAACCACAATCCTCAAATCTCAGCCTCCTGAGTAGCTTGGAATACAGGAGTGAGCCACCAGTGCTTGGCCCCTGCTATGACATTCTTGTACATACCTTAGGTGGACTTACATTTTCAACTTTTGGGACCCATAACTAGTTTTATTTTTTGTTTTTTTTTGGGGGGTCCATTGTGGGGCCTGAACTCTGGGCCTGGGCGCTGTCCCTCAGCTCTTCAGCTCAAGGCTAGTGCTCTACCACTTGAGCTACAGTGCCACTTCCAGCTTTTTTCTTTTTGCTTATGTGGTGCTGAGGCATCGAACCCAGGGCCTCAGGCATGCAAGGCAAGCGCTCTACCACTGAGCCACCTTCCCAACCCCATAGTTTTTATTTTTTATTAATATTAAGCTCTTGATGCATTTTGTCAAAGCTTTGAAGATGTAATACTATAAGTCTAGAGATAACTGTTTGCCATTTCAGAAATTTTAATTTGCTTTGTTTAGACCTATACCAAATGCTACTAACAAGTGACACAAATTTCCAAGGATAGTAGACTCATTTTCTTGAATATAATCAACAACTACTGATTAAAAGGACTAGCAGCTTTGTAGATGATAATCTAGTTTGGCTTAGCGCTTACCTGGATCAGTTCATTTTTTGATGTCAGTGGACTCAAACTATTCCACTATGGGCAATAAAAATGCATTACAATAGTCTATCTCCAATTTTGAGCAAGGTTATGCTTTTGTTTTTCTCTAGATCATCGCTATGTTGCCTAGGCTGCACTTAAACTCCTAGGCTCAAATTATCTTATCTCAACAACCAGCGTAGCTGGGACTATAAGCATACACCACACTCTGCCTGGCTCAATAATATTTTTTTGAATAACAGATTTTTTTATTGGTTTAAAATGCCTACTATATAACTTATCCCATCTTTGTTTAAATTTATTTATTCTGAAGTGATTTCTATTGATGCATAAATATAATTTCCTATATCTGTATTATTATTATTATTTTTGGTCCGGTTGTGGGGCTTTAACTCTAGTCCCTCAGCTCTTCAGCTCAAGGCTAGCGCTCTACCACTTGAGCCACAGCTCCACTTCCGGCTTTTTTCTTTTTGCTTATGTGGTGCTGAGGAATCGAACCCAGTGCCTCATGCATGCAAGGCAAGCACTCTACCACTGAGCCACCTTCCCGGCCCATCTGTATTATTTTTGTAGGAGTTTTAGACGATAGTGAGATAAATTTCTTCTATAAGACATAATGCATAAAATATAAACATTTACAGTTGCTATTTATAAAGTTTTAGAAGAATATGAATGTTATATATGAAATATGTATTTATGTGTAGCTAGCTATTGCTTTGGTGTAGGAGATTGAACCTAGGACCAAGCACATATTATGCACTCACACTATCACTAAGTTACACTCCTGGGTTCTTTGTACAATATTGGTAGGCAGCAGTAAATAATGGTTAAGACTAGAAATTGTTCTCATATGTGATATGAATTCTGGCTCTGATTCTCTCAATAAGATAATCAAACTAATCTCTTATTACCTCATGTATAAACTCATTTATGAGTGTGTGTGTGTGTGTGTGTGTGTGTGTGTTTGTGCGTGCTAGTCCTGGGGCTTGAACTCAAGGCCTGGGCACTCTCTGAGCTTTTCTGCTCAAGGCTAGTATTCTACCACACTTCTCCCCACTTCTGGCTTTTTTGGTGGTTAACCGGAGATAAGACTCTCACAACTTTCCTGCATGGGCTGACTTTGAACAATGATCCTCCTATCTCATTAGCTGTGTAACTAGGATTACAGGCATGAGACACCAGTATTACTCTGTTTTGGTGATGACTGGAAGGTTTTGCCATCATGGTTGTGCAATTCATTAGAGGATTTTTGGTATATACCGTTTATCAGATGTCTACTCAGAGTGGCCTTACTCTCACTTTGTCATTTCCTTAACAATAGGAACTTTAAAACAATATCTTCCTAAAGAAGATGAAGAGGAGGTGGAAATGACATCTGGCATTGGAGTAGACAAGGAACAACTGGAAGCAGGATCTGATGGTAATGATACGTAAGTAACTCATTAGCAGATAACCTAAACAGAGCACTGCGCAACACTGAAAATGCTGTTATGGGATGGGAGGTGGTTGAGGCCTAGCTAAAGAGATTACATTTTCCTATCTGCATGGATTCATTCTGGGATCTCCATTCTTCTCCTGGCATTATTTTGTATATTTCCATTAGTAATATTTGTCTAATTACTATGGCTGTATCATTCCATTTGAAACGTGGTAGAGCTATGGCCCACACTTTTTCCTGAACTCCATGTTTTCCTTCAAAATGGTCTTAGCTGTTACTTCCCTTAGTTCAACATAGATATCTTTACATCCTTCTATAGTGTCATGAGAGACTTGGGTGAGATATTAATAGCAATAATGTATTTGTTGATTAAATATGGCAATTGACATCTTTGTGATTATAAAATGTTAATATACTATCAATCTATCTACAACAATATGTCTGGGAACATGTATATACTGTGGAATGTCTAACCCAACCTAATTTATACATACACATATATCCCTAATTACTATTTGCGCTGAGACACTTCAAAGAGCTTTAGCAGGTATTCCTCTTGTTTAACTGCAGCTTTGTACCTTTGATGGACATTTCCAATTTCCCTTTGCTGCCTCCCTATCCTTGGCAACCACCTATCCTATTATTCTCTACTTCTAAGATTTACATTGCTTTAGTTTCCACATATAGGATGAGATCATGTGATTTCTTTTAGGCCCACTTAGCATAATGTCCTCTGGGTTCATCCATCACAAATGACAGAGACTTTTCTTCTGTTTATGTTGTGCTGGTACTGGGACTTGAACTCACAGACTGGGTGTTGTGCTTAAGGCTGGCACGGTACCACTTGAGCCACAGCTTTATTTCTAGCTTTTTGTGGTGAGTAATTAAAGCTAAGAGTTTCATGGGCTCTCCCAGGGTTGGCTTTTGAACCTCGCTCTTCAGATCTCAGCCTCCTGAGTAGCTAGGATAACAGAGATGAGCCACCCATGTCTGGCTTTTCTCTTCTGTTTTACTTTATTTATGCCTAAATAATGATTATGCATTGATAGTTGTTATGATCGTGCTTATGCCTTAGTGGCAGAGCACTTGCAGGCATGCAGAAAGCCCCGAGTTTTATCACCAGCACTGAAAAATAAAATTGTGTCCATTTATTTTACTCTTAAAATTTTTCATGTGTCTTGTAATTTTAGTTAGAGGTTTTGCTCTCCTGGAAAGTAAATTTTTGTTTTAGTTCCCTTTCTCTTCTTGCATGCCTCCTATACACCTTAGTAAGTCTTTGTATCCTCCCTCCATTCATGGTGGCTGGAACCCCTGAAGAATGAGGGTGTCTAGAAAAGTTCCAGTAATGTGGATTGTCTGTTCTGGCTCAAATCTCTGGGAGAAAAATTCTTCCTAGGAAATTTATAACCATGGATTTGACTTCACTTAGGTTTGGAGATTGAATTGTAATACTTAGGTGGTCTGAATATACTTACTTTGAGAAATTATCATTAAAATTTGCATTGAAAGAAAATAATACTCCTGGGATAGCTAGAAGAACTAATACGAAACACCCTGGAGTTATAAGCATTGGATTTTTTTTTCTGCTAACACTCTACTGAAAATGAGCTCACAATTGGAAATTTAAAAACTAGTTCTACCCAGTTCAGACCGCCTTAAAACAAAGCAAAACAGCTAGGCACTGGTGCTTCATGCTAGCTACTTGAGAGCCTGAGATCAGAGGTTCAAAGTCAGCTCAGGGTGGACAAATTTGAGACACTCTTATCTCCAATTAGCCAGCAAAAATTCTGGAGTAGACATATGATTCAAGTAGCTGAGCACCAGCCATGAACAAGAAAGCTGAGCAACAGTGTGAGGTCCTGAGTTCATACTGAGAAAAATTAAAAAAAGGTAAAACAAAAAAGAACGCCAGAGTCTACCATGAGAGATAGCAAATGCAGTAAATAATTGAATTAGGCCATTAAAAACTTCAGATAAGCTGGTCACAGGTGGCTCACACCTGTAATCCTAGCTACTCAGAAAGTTGAGATCTAAGGATCACTGTTTGAAGATGGTCCAGGCAGAAAAGTGTGTGAAACTCTGATCCCCAATTAATCACCAAAAAGCTGGCTGTGGATCAAGTGGTAGAGCACTAGCTTTGAGCTGAGAAAGCTCAGGGACAGTGTTCAAGGCCTGAGTTTAAGCTCAGGACTATCAAAAAACAAAGCAAAACAAACAAAAACCTTTCAGATAATATAACTTAACTATGAAGACTATAGTATTCTTTATCTAAATTTACTTAATTCAAACAGTTAAAGGGCAAAGGGATATAGAGCATTCACTTAGCTTTCTGTTTCAGAAAACTTTTTGATAGAAAATATAGACACTTAAGATATAAAAAGCATAATATATACACAAGCCAAAAAAGTCATTTGTCATTACGAAAGATTATACATTAAATATAAATGCATGTGCTAGTGTTTTCTTTTTCTTTCTGTGTGTGTGTGTGTGTGTGTGTGCCCGTGTGCGCGCGCACGCCAATATTGGGGTTTGAAGAGGATCAGGGGGCTTCCCTGAGCTTTTTCTTTTTTGCTCAAGGTTGGCACAACACTACTTTAAAAGTAAGCTCCACTGCTGATTTTTTGGAGGTTAACTGGAGGTAAGTCTTATGGACGTCACTGCTCACACTGGCTTCGAATTGTGATCCTCAGATCTCAGCTTCCTCAGTAGCTGGGATTATCAATGTGAGCCACTGGTGCCTGGGTTTCTCTTTGCTCTTATTGAGTATAAATGGATAGTGATACTTAAAGGTTGAAACATGAGTCCAACTAAACAGAGAAATGTTTTTCCCAACATTGGTTGATAAGTGTATAGAAAAGCCAGACGGTTAATAAATAATTTATTACTTGAGTATGCAATTTTGGTATATGTGCCAATATTGAGGGTTTGAACTCAGGACCTTGTGCTGTCCACTGGCCTTTTCTGTTCACATCTGGTGCTCTACCATTTGCACCACACCTCTACTTCGAGATAAAAGTCTCACAGAGCCATGAGGCAGTGGCTTGTGTCTGTAATCCTAGAGACTCAGAAGGTTGAGATCTGAGGATAGAGGTTCAAACCCAGCCCAGGCAGAATATTCTGAGACACTTATCTCTAATTAAGCATCAAAAAGCCAGAAGAAGAGCTATGGCTCAAGTTGTAAGAGCACTAGGCTTGAGCACAGGAGGCTCAGAGATACTATCTTGGCCAGCAGGTATATACACACACACAGACACAGACACAGACACACACCTCATGTACTTTCCTGCCAGAGCTGGTTTTGAGCTGTGATCTCAGATCTCAGACTCCTGAATAGCTAGGATTACAGGAATGAGCCACAAACACCTGGTAAAATGCAATGAAAAAGGAATGAAAAAGGAAACAAGTTTTCATATTAATGATTTCATAATGTAACACTGTTTTGCTGCTGTTTCAGAAATTTTGAAGAATCTGAAGATGAATTGAGAAATGAAGTAGTAGAATCCCTAGAAAATCTTGCTTCTTTCAAAGAAGAAGAAAAGGAAGAGGCTTCCATCTTCTCTAAAGATGCTGAAAAGTCAGGAGAAAAAGAAGAATCAAATGAAGCCTTAGAAGTGGTTAATAGTCTATCGATTGACCCAGTTTGTTTTACTGATGATAACTAAGAACAATCAAAACATACAAGTGTGATTACTGGAATTTTTCTTCTCTTTTTTTTTTTTAATAGTATTGGGTTCAGTGAACTTTTAGGCATTTTGTTTTGTTTCTTTGATTCTTTGCTTTTAAGACAGGGCCTCACTATGTTACTCAGGGTAGACTAGAATTCACTATTAGCTTAGGCTGGCCTCGACTTGGGATCCTTCTATCTCTACCTCCAGAGAGCTGGGATTATAGGCATGCACACTGCACCCAGATCCTACCTATCTTTTCTTATTAAGAATAAGAAGTACCTATTCCCTATAGTACCTGTTTAGGTATAAGTAAAAACAAATCATTTATTTGTAAGAGTTTTTCAGTGATCGTCTCTAGGACTTGATTTTTCTTTCAAGTCAGATAATAGAACTCCCTTTAGAAGGATGGCTTTAGATTTTAGGGTAGGGAAAGAGAGTTAGCCCAGGAGCAGTGAGAGAGGACACGTAAACCACAGAGACCAAAAGCACCTAGAAACTTACAATAACTTCTAGTGTAGAAGTAACAGAAGTAACTTTCCTGCACTCACTGACGGATTTAGCATAGACACATTCTCATTTATTCATTCATATCAAAGTCTTGGATACTAGGGTTTATTTAAATAATTAAACACCAACATTCTGAAAGCACTGATACTAACACTTGTCTTTATTTCATAATTTTGCCTATAAGATGATCTTGTAAAAATACCTTGGAAATTATTAAAAAATAAAGAGTAAAAGGACAGGGGAGGTAGCGAGGGATAGAATGTATGCTTAGCAAGCATAAGGCCTTCAGTCTAATCCAGAGCCACACCCCAAAGCATAAATAATTTTTAAGAAAGTCTACAAAATCTAACAACCAATACTTAGGCACCACAAACAAGATAAAGATTTCCTTTCCTCTTTATGCATTTTCTTTCTTCTTTAAATATTAAAGAAGTGCTAGAGGCTCATGCCTGTAATCCTAGCTACTTGGGAGGCTGAGCTCTGAGGATTGCTGCTCAAAGCCATTCTGGTCAGAAAAGGCCGTATAACATTTATCTCCAATTAACCAGGAAAAAAGCTAGAAGTGCAGCAAAAAAGCCAAGCAGGTGCACAAGGCCCTGAATACAACCCCCAGTACCAGTACCCCATTCCCTCCACATTTCTCAGCATGTGGAACTACACTAGAAGAATTGGGAGACTGTAGGAAGATTATTGTACAAAGACCACGTAACATGTACTTTACAGTTAAAGTGTAACTTTAACTACACAGGGAATGTGAACTTAGCAAAATCAATAGTCACCCAGATGTTCTCAGACAGTAATTGACATACTGTTTTGACATTTTTCATAGTACCAGTAATTCAGTAAACAAACTAAAATACAAGTAAGTACCACATTAAGAACACTGGAAATGAACATATATGCAAATCGTATCTTATATTTATGATCCATGAGTCAATTTTTTGGAAAAAAATTAAAAAATGAACCTTTAATGTGTTTTAAGGAATCTTCTTTCACTATATCTTCTACTTGTTCATTTCAATTTCTTCCTCTTTAGTTACATAGTTTTCTTTGTGTAGATGTTGTAGGCTGAGTGGGCTATAGCATGGATCTGACCTTAAAGACTAGCCATAGAATAAGAAAGAGCAGTGGGCCCAGAGTCAAAACACCACTTCATAATCCGGATGCTGTCATTAAAGAACTTTGTAACACTGAAGGAGTCCACCCATAACTCAGGTATAAATCAGACTGATGAAGGGAGTGTCAATTCACTGAACAAGGGTATCTGTAGAAAATGCTGAAAGCTGTTAAGATCTGCATACACATATAATCATTAGTAAAGACGATATCAGAGGCATTTACTCTAATGTTTGGAATTTTCAAAGTAATTTTACATTCTCCATCTCAGTATTACCACTCTAAAATTCAATAAGGGTAAGCATTAACATCTCCAGCTCATGTGAAAAGATTCAAAAAGATTAAGGAGCAGCTTTAATTTCAGAAAATCAGATGTTTGTAACGAATGAAGTGGATGCTGCTGACTCAGTCCAGTACTCATTTCTTTCTGAGATCCTAGGGTTTGAACTCAGGACCTTATACTTGCGTCAAGCCATCGAGCGCTCCTTTCAAAGGCTAGCTCACCATCTAACAATGCATGGTTTTGTTTATATAAAATGTGAGGCTAGTTCTCTTTATCTCATAATTAAGCCAGAAAACAACTTTCTTGATGTTCTCTTGAGTAAATTAGCTTGCTTACTTGGGTTGGAGCTGTTATGGATGTGGGAGACCCATCCAAATGTGCTGTGATAACCAGGCAACTTTTAATTATGGCATCTTAACCTCAACATGCCTATACATATTCATGAAGTAATCAGCCCATTCCACCTCTTACATATGTGCCTTGGGAACAGAATTAGATACATCTACAAAGTTGTTTTTAAGAAAACCATTAGGTACATTGAAACAGGTGACCCACGAATTAAATGTACCAGAAATTTTGGGGTTAGGGATATAGCTCACTAGAAGAATATTTGCCTAGTATGAACAAGCCTGGAGTACAATCCCTAACAACTCCCTGATCCAAAAAGATTTGTGTTTCAAAATGTCAGAATAATCCTAAAGTGCTAGTTACTTTTTATCTATCCTCCCTTTTTACTTTAACATTTCCTTCTATTCTAAAAGGAAAATTTCAGCTAAGAGGTAGAGCTTGTCCTCTGCCTGTGTAAGGTCTTGGGTTTGATTCCTAATACTCAAATAAAACAATAAAATACAATAAAACAAACAAGTGATCAAATAAAGAGAATTTTTCCTGTTGAGTGATTTCAAAAACAGAACATAAAAATATGGATTATACCAAATTCAGTTGTTAATGTTTTTCTTTCAGTTCTGCATTTTGTAAAACCGAAGACCACATATTAATCTAAATTGTTATATTAGGATATGTAAGAGTGCGTTTTCCATTTAGGTAATTTGGCCTTTTCTCAATAAAATACTTTTTCTAAACACATACTGCTGAGAACACTGTTCAGACTGACTTGATTATAACAGAAATAAGTATAGAAAAGTATTTACATATGAAGGGGTAATTAACCATTTTAAGTTTTGGTGCTGGGGATTGAACCCAGGCCCTCACCCATATGGAGTATGTGCTTTAACTGTGAGCTACACCTACAAACCCAACTATTTAATATAAAATACCTTTAATATATACAGATCTAGGATTATTTAAATAATTTCTCCACAGATGACAGGAATGTCACTTCAAACTCTTGGTCCGAAAATCTGCTTACAGATGCACGAGCATTTTTTCTGATCTGGAGTCTCTTTTCTGCAGACAGGGAGAGAATATGAGCCATAGTCTCAGCATAGCCATCTTCGGTCTCAGCCAGAAATCCAGTTATATCTCCTTCATGAGGAATAACGATGTCCAGCTTTGGACCCCCTGAGTTGTGTGCAAGGATAATTGTGCCAGCTGCCATACACTCCACAACTCCTGAGAAAGAAAAAAAATGAGCAGAAACCTTCAAAAGCTTGGACTCTCCATACTACATTCCTAGGAAACAGAAAGCTGTAAAATGAACTGCTTAAAATCATTCCAGGCCAGGTGCTGGTGGCTGATGCCTCTAGTCCTTGCTACTCAGGAGGCTGAGATCTGAGGATTGGGGTTCAAAGCCAGCCCAGGCAGGAAAGTCCATGAAACTCTTAGCTCCAATAAACCACTCAGAAAACCAGAAAGTGGTGCTGTAGCTCAAGTGGTAGAGTACTAGCCTTGAGCTGAAGAGCTGAGGGATAGTGTTCAGACCCAGAATTCAAGACCCATGACAGACAACCATGCCTGTAATCCTAGCTATTCAGCAACCTGAGATCTGAGGACCATGGTGCAGTGCCAGCTAGGCAGAAATGTCCTTGAGACTCTTCTCTAATTACCTATCCAAAGCTGGATGTGGAGCTATGGTTTAAGTGGTAGAGTACCAGTCTTGGGACAATGCCCAGGTTCTAAGTCCAAGCCCCAGTTAGGCACAAAAAACCAAAAATATCCTTTCATTCTTTCCCACTGGTTGACATGGCTCTCACTGGCACTGGTTTTCTTAACCGTCCCCTTCAGGCTCTTGCTCTGTGAACAAAGTCGCTTGAATGTAGTTATTGATGCTCCTTTAGTCACACTTGTGCTATTCTCTCACTTGCTGGCCAACTTTTAATTATTGTTTGGGACCCAGCTTGAGGGTCACAAGTCTGTCTTGTGTGACTATTCCTGGAACACTTCACCTTCCTTACACAGCATTGGCTCATGTCCAGCAAGGTGTGACCACCAGAAGGATGGGCAGCTTCTGAAGGGAAAGAACGAAGAGCAACTCCCACCTCAGCCATCTTCCCAGCCTCCTTGAGTCCCTGGTCCAGAGTGAGTACCAGTAAATGTCAGAAGACAGACTCTAAGCAGAGAGCTGGACCAATGATTCTTTGTACTTTTGGACTTACTATTATACTATTAACTAGGAATTTAAGACATAAGAAATTATAGTGTTAGTATAGGAAGCTCCACTTCTGTTTTCCTATAATGAGGAGAGACACAGAACAGGCACTTGAAAAATACATGTTACCAAATGACACCAAACAGCAGTTGACTTTACAATGAAATGTATGCTGAACCCAAAGTTAGAATAGAAACAGCAGCTTGAATAGCAAGACCAAATAAAGGGTAAAGAGACTGAAACTGAACCCTGATAGGATCTGGAAGAAAGATGGGGGTGAGGCCATTTCAATAATGAGCAAAAATTCACAAAGAATTTAAAAGAGAAATAGTGTGGAAAGCTGATCTGGAGACAGTGTCAGCTTCTACTGCCCAAATAAAAATGCTCACCCCTAAGCAAGCCCATTGAAATACCTCTCACTGGATCCTATCCAAAGATTCCAAGCTGCTCCTTTAGTATGATTTAGGGTAGGGGCAAGGAGTCTGTACCAGTACACAGATGAGTTTAGATGAGGAGAGAAGGCTTAAGGGTAGCTCAGTAGTAGAGCATAGCACTTGCCTAGTGAGTGCAAGACTGTGGGTTTGAACCCTAAAATAAACAAAAAAAAGTGAGGTGGGTGGATGGAAATAGAAAGCCTAGCAGTTAAGAGCAGTTGTTACCTCGGTAGAAGCCAGACCCTACCACTTCCTTTGTGACTGGACTGAAGTTTCTAGACCTCTCTGTGCTTGGGTTTTCATATGGACAAATGGGTATAACAATAATACCTATCAAACAGGGATTTAGAGAATATTAAACTAGATAATATTTGTAAAAATATCAATTTAGTAAACTCCATATACTAAGTGGTGGTTAATAAATTTCGTGTGTGTGTGTACATGTGCAAATATTTCTGGGAATAGAATCTAGGAGCTGTACATGCTAGCCAAGTACTCTGTCACTAAGCCATACCCAAGTCCAAGTACTAGTCTTTTTTTTTTTGTCAGGCATGGGGCTGGGGCTGAACGCGGTCCTTCAGCTCTTCAGCTCAAGGCTAGCGCTCCACCACTTGAGCTACAGTACCACTTCTGGTTTTTTGAGCGGTATATTGGAGCTAAGAGTCTCACAGACTTTCCTGCCTAGACTGGCTTTGAACCGAGATTCTCAGGTCTCAGCCTCCTGAGTAGCTAGAATTATAGCATCAGCCACCAGCACCCAGCCCAAGTACTATTCTTAACTACTGTCTTAAAAGGTCCGAGATGAAGAAAGCACACTTGGTGGATTAAGAAAAGAGAATGAGGATGTCATAGACACTTCCAGAGTATTTTTAACTTATCATAAATCTAAAGTAGTATGTCTTGCATATCAAACTAGTTAAGGACAAACTCACCAATCCCAAAATGCTCATTCCACATGGTGTGCAGACCAATTGTTGCTTCAGACAAATAATTCTTTAATTCCTCAAATGGAATGTTTATTTTAAATTCCACATGTTCTTGAACCCCTAAATCCTCGGACAGCCTTCTCAGTTGGTTTACTCTGAGTTCATCTTCTTTGTTACGACAACCTCCAATGAGGATGAGTTTGAGTAGAGAGGGTGACTCAGCTGTCTTCTTACACAGCAATTTAGCAAAGGCTCTGATCTGCAAAGAGTGATCCTTTTCAGGCCTGAACTGGCCAATGGAAACCAGTAAATGTCCTGGGGTTTTCTGTTTCTCATTTAAGGGAATGTCCAGAAATGTCTGCACATCACAAGGTGGATAAACAATGTTAGTGCAATGCCCAACCTTCCAAAGTGCAAGAATATGGTTTAGGGTCCAAGAAGAATTCACCATGACCACATCACTGCAAGAACCAACAAGCCCATAAAGAAAGGCAAACAAATAGTAGTAGATGAGTTTTACTTTGCTGAGAAAAGGATTCCTGGTAATGAAGGCTGCATTATTAAAGCCAACACTTTGATTCTTCACCACAGACAGCATGTCAGTGCTGATAGTGGGGTAATGAACATAACTTCCAATTCGGCAACCTCCTACATACTTAAACAGAGGGAATGTGAACGCGTAGCCCATGGAATCAATGTAAACATCAGGAACATACTGCATCAACGCCTCCCAGCCAAGGACAATGGAGCCAAGACTTTGGCCCAAGAGTGTGAAGTGAGGGTAGCGTGAATCTTCCACAAGGTAGCGTTTCTTTAAGAACACAAATTTCACTGGATGAATTAATCTGATGTTAAATCTTCTGAAAGCACCTTCTAGTATCTGTTGACCAGTGACATTAACATCACCAGTATAAATAATGTATACTGCCTCAGGATACCTAAATAGAATATGATAGTTAAGAATCCCATTAGTTTAGGTTAAAAATCAAGCAAACAGTTGTAGATAGTTGTCTCATAATCATGAACAAGCTTATTTTATGTTAAAAAATGTTTTCAACGATTCTCATCATTTCACATGAAGTACTGACTCTCCCCTTTCTGTTGCCCAAGGATGTTAGTCCTTCAAATGAGACATTTTATGTTGAAATCCAACCTACAATACAGTGTACCAGCTGGATGCTGGTGGCTCATGCCTGTAATCCTAACTATTCAACAAGGTCTGAGCATCGGAAGCTAGCCAGGGAAGGAAAAGTCTGCGAGACTCTCATCTCCAGTTAATCACCAAAAAGTCAGACATGGAGCTGTGGCTCAAATAAAGCACCAGCCTTGAGTGAAAAGTTAAAAGACAGTGCCCAGAGTTGGGACTCATCACTAATTAGCCACAAAGAAGTGGGAAGTGGTGGTGCTATGGCTCAAGTGGCAGAGTACCAGTGTTGAGCAAAAAAATCTAAGAGATAGTGGCCAGGACCTTAGTTTAAGCTCTACTACGGGGACAAAAAAAGGGGGGGAGGAGGGGAAGCTACTCTTAAGAGATTAATGGGATTATTGCCTTTATTTCTTTGGTGCTAGGGATTGAATACAGGGTCTTATGCATATTCAGCACACTTTCCCATTGAACACCCCTCCTAGTTTCCTAAAGGGGTGTAATGTGGCTCTTTGACCTTTTTGCAACATGAGGACATAGCAGAAATAGCAATGAAGAAGCAGAACGTGATTCTTACCAGTTATCAGAGCTATATTTAGGTAATGATTTTTTAAAATAATTTCATTATTTTATTGTTGCTTTAGAGGTGTTATACAGCATGGTTACCTTTACATTTATGAGATAATAAATACATTTCCTTCCTTTTGTATAGTATCATTTGTTCCCTCATTCTCTCCCATTCCCTCCCATCTCTGCCCACAGGTTGCTTGGTGCAGTCTGTGGGCCTGCTGCTGCACTTTTTCACATTTTCCACTCATTTTGTGCCTTCCCCTCACCTTCCTCAGATATGTACATGTATACATTCTATATGAGGTAAAGAATAGAGTCATCAGAGAATGAAAAGGTCCTTGGTTTCCTTATCTTTTGGAGTTTGTTTCAATATGTATATTATTTTATGTACATATAAAGAGGTAATTGGGTATTACAACTTGTTGATTTTCTCCTAAGACTATCTTCTTTTGGTCCTACTGTGAGTGTCTAGAATCCTGTATAATTTGTCATATCTCATTGCGTTTAAATCTAACTTCCACATATGAAGGAGAACATTTGCCATTTGTCTCTCTGATCTTGGCTTACTTCACTCAACATGATTTGTTCTAGTTCCACCTATTTCTCTGCAAATGACATTATTTTATCCTTTCTAATGGCCGTGTAAAATTCTATTGTACATAGGTACCACACTTGTTTTGGATCCATTCATCTACCGTGGGGCACCTGGGTTGTTTCCCTATCTTAGCTATTGTGAATAATGTGGCAATGAACATGGATGTGCAGGTGTCCTTTTCACAGCCTGGCTCTTGATGTCCAGGGTAGATGCCTGGGAGTTGTAGGATTGGGTTATAGGGAAGGTCTATGTTTAGTTTTTTGAGCAACCTCCAGACTGTTTTCCAGAGTGCTTGTGTAAGTTTGCATTCCCACCAGCAGTACAGTATGGATCCTTTTTCTCACTTCCACAGCAACATTTGTTGTCCACATTCAGACTATTGGCCAGTCTAACTGGGGAAAGATGGTATCTCGGGGTTGTTTTGAGTTGCATTACCTTTATGGACAGGGATGATGAGCACTTCCTCATGTGTTTCTTTGCCATTCTTACCTCTTCTTCTGAGTATGCTTTCCTTAGCTCTCTTACCTATTTAGTGATTGGTTTATTAGGTTAGGGAGGGGTTAGTGTCTTGAGTTCCCTGTATATATTGGATATTAGGCCTTTGTCTGACATATAGCTGCTGTTTTTCTAGTTTAGTAGCTATGTCCTTAACTGTACAGAAACTTTTTATTTTAATGTACTCCCATTTGTCGAGTCACTCTCCTATCTGTTATGCCCCTGGGACTCTAGGTAATGATTTTTTTTTTTTTTTTGGTCCAGTTGTGGGGCCTGAACTCTGGGCCTGAGTGCTGTCCCTCAGCTCTTCAGCTCAAGGCTAGCACTCTACCACTTGAGCCACAGTGCCACTTCCAGCTTTTTTTTTCTTTTTGCTTATGTGGTGCTGAGGAATGGAACCCAGGGCCTCAGGCATGCAAGGCAAGTGCTCTACCACTGAGCCAACTTCCCAGCCCCTAGGTAATGATTTTTTTAATGGCAATAATATAATAAATGAACTTAAGAGATGCATACCTACTTTTTCTGAAGGGCTCTCAAAGCACACCATAAAACTCTTTCTCCTCCACCACCAGCATTGCAATATGGATGAAAAAATGCAATCACCAGCTGCTTTCTCCCATTTTTGCTGGTTGATAATGACATTTTCTTTCTTTGTAGCATCAGTCTGATTCCACACAGGACAAGTACTAAACATACACATAAAGCTCCACATACAATTAGTCCCGGGAGGAACAATGAATAAAAAAACCTGGAATAAGAAGGAAAGTTCAAAACCACTCAAATGCTCATTAAAAAAATAACATAAGTTAAAGTCTAGTTTACATACTTAGTTTATATATAGTAGCACAGACAATTTTTGTAGTTTGCAAGATTATTTACACTTTTCTTTCTTTTTCTTTGGTGATCTTTGGGACCAAACCCAGGGCCTTACATGTTAGGCAAGAGCTGTACCACTGGGCTGTATATCCAGCCCAACAATAGTTAATTTTCTTGTGCATGTAACAGTCCGGGGGCTTGAATTCATGGCCTGGGCACTCTCCCTGAGAGTTTTTGCTCAATACTAGCACTTGAACCACCGCTCTATTTCTGGCATTTTTGGTAGTTTAGTAGAGATAAGAGTCATAGATTTCCCTGCTGGGGCTGGCTTCAAATCATGATCCTCATATCTCAGCCTCCTGAGTAGCTAGTATTACAGGTGTGAGCCAATGGTGCCCAGTGATAGTTAATTTTTAAATATCCATTCCAGAAACGTTGTGTTTTGCTTGTTTTTGTATAGGGGTTTGGACTCAGGGTCTTAATGTGTGCTAGCCAAGTATTCTACCTCTATCTCTATATCCCTAAGCTGTTTTTTGCTTTAGTTATTTTTGGATAAGGTCTTGGCTTTATTATAATCATTATTATTTACAATATGTATTATTGTTACTACTACTACTACTAGTACCACCACTATTATTTTGGCCTGTGGTTTACCTAGGACTGTGATCCTCCTGATCTCTGCCAGTAGGTGGGATTACAACCTTAACCACAGAAATTCTTAATTCTAACTTCTTTAGCGCTGCAAGATGGTTAAAGACATAATGAATCTAATAGTTTGGCATCCCTACCTTGTGTTACATTAAGGCAGTTTTATTTACTGTCAGTGTAAATGTCAACATAGAGAAAAGACATGCCTAACATGTGCCTGGCCAAGAGTTCAATTTCTAGCATACCTCCCCCCTCCCCACACTAGGTTTACCTATATTTAAACAGAAAAATGTAAAAAAAAGTAACTGTAACCAGCGGTTAGTCACTCCTTTAGAAAATAGCAAATACAATGTACAGAGCACTAAATCAGGAATATCCCATATGGCAGGGGATAACATGAAGACTGAGAACAAACCTTTCTACTCAGAGTATTTGAATATTCATTATTGAATTTGAAGTAGAATGTATAAAAATAAATAACAAATACCTGAATATGTATAAGAAACTACTATTCTTGCTTGTTATTCAGGAAATTATTTTCTAATTATAAAATTTCAATCTGTAAAAGTTCATGCCTAGATCCTAGCTACTCAGGAGGCCAAGATTTGAGAACCACAATTTGAAGCCAGCCCAGCCAGACTTGTCATCTTCAATTATGTAGAAAAAGACAGAATTGGGGTTAGGGTTCAGATGGTAGAGTACCAAATATAAGATGAACTTGAGGTCCTTAGTTTAAGTCCCAGTACTGGCCCACAATTTATTTTAATTTTTTGTTGGTCGTGGGACTTGAACTCTGGGCCTGGGCGCTGTCCCTCAGCTCTTCAGCTCAAGGCTAGTGCTCTACCACTTGAGCCACAGTGCCACTTCCGGTTTTCTGGTAGTTAACTGGAGATAAGTGTCACTTTCCTGCCCTGGCTGCCTTTGAACCGAGATCCTCAGATCTCAACCTCCTGAGCAGCAAAGATTACAGGGGTGAGCCACCAGCGCCCGGCTCACAATTTTTTTTAAACCTCAATAAAAATACGTAGATGCTAGACAAAAAAAGAACCTAGGAGATAGCGGTGAGCATAATGACATATAAAGGGGACTAGCGGGAAGGATCCTGAGTTGGAGGCTGTCTCAAAACAACAACAACAGCAACAAAATCTAAACCAAGCAAGGCGAAACCAAAAGAGTTAGAAAGCTAGAACATCAAAGATACTCAGTATGTTCAGTGGGAAAAAGCATTTACAATAATTTTATAACAAAGGTTAGAAAAGTCAGTTTTCCCACCAAAATGTTAGCAGCTGTTATCACCAGATGGAAACATTCTTGGTGGCTTTTCCTTTTATTTATCTATGCTGTAACTGTCCTAAAAGAAACTGTGTTACATATATAACTAAAAAAAGGAAGGCAATATTTTATAACTACTTTTACATCAATGAGAAAATAAAGCAGTGGATCGTCAAGAAACCCAGAACATATATGTTATAATTAAGTGACACGTATTAACCAAAGTAGTTTGGGTGAGTTAAACAAACAAACAAAAAGCCCCGAGTCCAGAAGGAAGAACTAGCTTCTTAGCCTTGGAAAAAACACACTCGTGGCTCCATCCTAGAGTGAAACGGGGAAGGAAGATCAGGAATTTATGACGGACAAAATGGACTGCGAAGAGGAGAAAGAAAAGGCAGAAACAAAACTGGGAACTGTCGCTAGCCAGCAGGGGGGCAAGCGGGAAACTGCGGTAAACTGAGTCAAAGACCTAGCGGTCTCCCACCCATCTAGGAGACCCCAAAGGGAGAGGAAGATCTTCCCACTTGGCCTGACCCAATCTCCTAAAATCACATCAAGGAAAGCCATTCCCCTGCAAACTTAAGCTGCACGCGAAAGAAAATTACCACCAAAAAACCAGGTCAAGGTTGTGAGTTCACGCCCCGGGCTACTCACCGCAATAACTCGCACAAGCACCAGCTCCCAGTGGTAGCCGCCATCTTTAGCCGACCCCGGAACTCAGGAAGCTCTCGGCCGTTCCTCTTCTCTATTGGCTCCTGAGGAAATAACGGCGTGCTATCCCCGCCCTCACGGACCTCTTTACTTTGCAATTGGTCCCTGGCAGCAGCTTCCCATGACTTTTCAGCCAATAGGCTCTACCGAGGCGTAGACAAAATTTCCGTCCGGCGCGCATGGGTCCCGCCCCCTTAGTAGGAGTTGGGCTGTGGAGTGGGGGCGTGGCCTGTGACGGACAGCCCGCACTCCCGCCCTCCAGCCCTTCTCCACCACCCACCGTGAACTCCCCCCCACCCCCGGGAGTACCCCCCCATCCCTTGCCCCAAACCGGTCTCCTGTTGAACAAATGGGGCCGCTCTGGCTGGTCGCGGATCGATCCTCGAGGTGCCGCAGCGGTCGCTGGCTTTGCCACCTGCGGCGTCCCGGAGTCGCGCGCACAGTCCGTGAGGGGGCTGCGCGGAGTTGACGCCGAGCCGTCCCCTCAGGCAGTGGCCGCACCCGGGGACCTGCGTCTCGGGTCCGGGGCTGCGCCTCTCGCCGGCTTTTCCCTCACGGCACTCGGCTGGGGCTCCGAGGACCCAGTCGTGAGCGCATCTGCCCCAGGTAGCGGAGACCCGGGGCTGGGGAGGGGCCGGCTCCCGTGGGGACACTGAGGCAGGGGTCGGCGCGGCCCGGGGTGTGGGGGGGATCGGAGGCCCGGCCGCCCGCCCGCGCCGCGCGCGAACCCCCTGATCCCACACGAGGGGGTGTGTTAGACGAGTGGCCGGCAGGTGCGGGCAAGTCCGCTTCTCTTCTCCCGGGAATAATCCCCGCCTTTCTCCTCCCCTGACCAGGTAGGTGACCTTTGGGCTCCCTGCGGGATCTGGAAAGACGTTGGCGTGTGTGGAGAATGATGCCTGAGCGGGAGAGTCTGATTTCAGCCAGCGAAGAGCCTAGCCGGGAGGTAAGTGGCCTTAACGCCCTGCCCACGCCGCCGTCACCCCTACCCGGAGGGCTTTCTGTCCCGCCTGTCGCTGCAGCCTGGCAGGTGCGCTGGGCACAGGTGCGCGGGACTCAGCTCTTGCTCTAGTGGCTTGGGAGGAAAGCACCCTAGAAAGGGCACTGTCCCTGGCCCGCTGGTGTTGAGGAACAGTTTGAAAACCTAGCATTTTCCCATTCACCTTTACCCTTTTAAGGGGTCTGATGCCTGCCAGGCAAAGAGCGGGAAGTTGCTGTGTGATTCGGTGCAGAAGTTATTATCGTTGGGTGGCAGATCCAGACTATCCAAGTCCTGTGGTCTATCCAAGTCAAGTGGTCTATCCAAGTCCTGCCATGTTTTCTTTATTATTCTTTTAATGCAGTCTTTTAAAAATGGAATACTTTGCATGACAAGACAACCTTTTCCAGTCCTTTTCTTCATGTACTACTGCCTTCATTCACCAAACATTTATTGAAAACTCAGTATGTTGAAGAGTTTGATAGAGTTGTTGACAACCTCTCCCCCCCCCCCACTCCGGCCACTCCCCACACACACGGGAGGAGAGAAACCTATAGGTTTCTTCCTGTGTTGTTTTAAAATGCTCTATTTTACCTGAATGAAACCACGTGTTGTAGTTTCTTTTTTTTCCCCATTCACACTATATTTTGGAATTAGCTCCACTAAGTATCTCAGTTTAACCTTCTCACAGATGTATCATGGTTTATTGACCTCCTGTGGGTGGATGTTTTGAGTGCCTTACTCCCTTCTTTCACAAGAGGACACGATCTTTGTATTTGAGTTTTAATACAAACATGGAATGTTTCTTTAGGATATAGGATTAATGGATTCAAGAATAGGTCACTTCTTTTCTATACACTTGGAATTAACTTATTGTTATTGTTGAGTCTATTTAGTAGTGAAATTCATCTAGGCTGGTGGGTAGAAATGAAATATAAGTGGATTCATGGATAAGCAGAGAGGCTGGTGAGTAGGTGACTCTTTGTGGCATGAGACTTCATTTGATCAAGGATGTGAAGACAGCATACACTGGGGAGGGGTGGCTGGAGCAGAGGAGATAATTCCAACTGTCTGCAGTGTCTTCATCTAGATAGAAAAATCTTTGTACTTCCAGATCAGCCTCAAGACTTGCCCCCTCCTTGAAACCTATATATCTCCTGCCCTCATTGACCTCATTCTGTTCTGGATTCCTTTGATAATAGCCAATATGAGCTTACTATGTGTTACACATTGTATTAAGTACTTTATATCCCTCTCTGTGCACTCTCTCATTTAATCCTCATAATGCCCATTTCACCCAGTTTTTTATTTATTTATTTTCCAGTGCTGGGGATCAAATCCAGGATCCTGTGCTCATATACTGTTATCATTGACCCATACACCCAGCCTTAAAACCCTTTAACATAGATTTTTCTTCTTGTTGTTGTTAATTTTGTGCTAGGAATCAAACCCATTCTACCAACAAACTTTTCCTGGAACTCTGTTAAGATAGTAGCTTCAGTAATCATCATTTGTGCAGCAAATAACTTTTAAAGTACTCCCTGCCAGGAATTGTAGACACCGGGAATTCCATTATGATCAAGATCTTTCCTTTAGAGACTTTGCATCCTAATAAAAGATCCTGATAGGGGTGGCAGTGGAGGGGGAGATGGATGTGGGGGTGGGGTAGTTGTGGTGTGTGTATAACCAATAAATAGTGTTATTTCTGATATTGCTGACTGTGTGGAAGCTAGTAAAGCTGAGTAGGAGCATAAGAAAAGGTCTGAGTTTTGAGTAGAGCCCTTGATAGCCTACATTTCAGGCGAGTATGCTGGGGAACTGAAAGTGTCTAAGTCCTAATACAGGAATGCATAATAAATGTGTATTTGATCTTTGTCCTAGGTTCCTGATACAATGCCAAACCCTTGGCATTTCCTGAATGGTTGTAGTAGTAATAGGAATATTTTGTTGTTGTTCATAATAAGTTTTCATAATACCTAAATTCTGCTAGTGACAGGGACCTTGATGAGCCCCTAGAATCTAGACCTCAGTCTAGATGTCAGAGGAATCACTTACATTACTAGGGAGTTAGAACTTTCCGCCCCATCCTCCAACCTCTAGAAAGGTGCTAGGGATTGTAGTTGAGTTACTTACCAATGGTTGATGATTTGATCATGCCTACAGAATGTAACCTCCATAAAAACATCAAATGATGGGCTTGGTAGACATATTGAGGCTCTGGGAGGGTGGCTTGCCTGGAAGGGCATGGCAGCTCTGTGCACCTGGCTCCTACTGCTTGCCCTGTGTGTATCCTTAATAAAGAACTGGTAGCTAGGTGCTGGTGGCTGATGCCTGTAATCCTAATTACTCAGGAAACTGAGATCTGAAGATCTCAGTTCAGTGTCAGCCAAGCTCAAAGACTCTGTTTCCAATCAACCAGCAAAGATGTCAGAAATGGAGGTGTGGGTCAGGTGGTAGAGTGTCAGTCTTGAGAGAAAAAAAATAAAGGAGAATGAGATGCTGTGAGTTCAAGTCCCAGTATCAGTACAAAAACACAAACAAAAAACTGGTAATAGGTCAAGTGCTTTCTTGAGTTCTGTAATAACATACTAGCAAATTATCCATCCTGAAGTTGTGGCAAACCTCTAAATTTATAGTTGGTCATTCATAAGTTCAAGAGTCCTTGGGGACTGATGTCAACAGTTGGGGCTGCCTTGTGGGACTGAGTCTTTATCTTGTGAGACCAGTGCTAACTTAAGATAGTGACAATGGAATTGAGTTGCTGAGCCCCAGTTGTCTGCAAAGTGGGAAAATTGGTTGATAGGAAAAAAGCTCATTATTTTAGGGGTCAGAAGTAGTGAGACTGGAAACAGAACAGAAGGGGTGTCCTTAGTGTTTGAGGAACAAAAAAGAGGTAGAGGGGCGTGAGTAGTGGGAAGAGGGGGAAGCCGTAGAACCTGAGATTAGAATTCATCACTTTAAAAGTGGGGACACTGGAAGCAGGAGTGACCTAGTGGGCCTTGAGTGTCTAGCTAATAAGAGGTAGACATAAGGTTGAATTTTATCCAGGCCTGTGAGGCTTTCTCCTAGAGTCACTTGATACTAGATTATACTACCTGTTATTTTCACCAAAACTAACAAATACAGCTATTTTTTTTGGCAATTCTTGTGTTTGCATGCCCCTCCCTCCCTCCCTCCCTCCCCTCCTCCCTCTCTCTCTCCCTCCCTCTCTTCCTTCCTTCCTTCCTTCCTTCCTAATCCACAGGCTGTAAAATCCCAGGTCTTGTGGAAGTGCTTTACTCAGTCCCTCATTTTTCTCCATAGATGACATCTTACATCAAGGAAACCAATTGTATTATTGGATGTGCTTGACTTCTTACATCAAGGAAACCAACTCTATTAGATGTGCTTTCTCCAACCTTCCATCCAACTTTACCTATTTTCTCCCCAATTTTATTTAGACCTCACATTTATTTTAGACCTATTATTTTATTTCAACCTATTTTGGTTTGTGTTTGTCTTTTTGAAATAAGGCTCATTATGAAGCCCAGGTTGGCCTAGAACTCACAATCTTTACAGCTTTGCAGTGCCTGGATTATAGGCATGTACTGTACAACCTGCTTTTATCTCTATCTCTCTAGAATCAGAAGACAGGCAAGCCAGCCTTCTTACCAAGGTCATGCCCTTTGTCAGTATCTTTGACCCCCTTCCTCCCACCTATGTAGCCTTTATTTGCTTCTAGGCTTTCTCTTTCTGAACCTGTGAAACCATTCACTTTACTTTTTGTTTTTAAGTTTTTTTCTACATTTCCTTCTTCCTTAATCTTATAGAAAGAATAGACTGCACTGTTTGAAGGATGACTTTTAGGTTTTCCTTCATTATGATATGTTTTTTGGCTATAAAAGAAAGGTATAAAAACACTCATATGCAATTTAAAAGAAAATAGGGAGGGCTGGGAAGGTGGTTCAGTGGTAGAGCGTTTGCCTTGCATGCCTGAGGCCCTGGGTTCAATTCCTCAGCACCACATAAGAAAAAAGAAAAAAGCCAGAAGTGGCGCTGTGGCTCAGGTGGTAGAGCACTAGCCTTGAGCTGAAGAGCTGAG